AACTTACATTCCTATCTAAAATAACTTGATATAATAACATAAATAGAGTAAGCACTTATAGCCTAATGGATAAGATCGGGCAGCTGAATGGAAGATTACGAGTTCGATCCTCGTTAAGTGCGATGTATCTTTTTATGAACCTCGTATGAAAATCTTATCTGATTCTTATAAGACACTTACGACTGTCGATGGGAAATCTTAAACAATCTTATATAAGAACCTGATAAGATTCTTATAAGAATCAGATAAGATACTGATAAGAGACTTATAGGTTTCTGGTAAGATTCTTATATAAGAATCGATCTCTAGGGCGACTTAGCCGACCGGTTATCAGCTAGGTTAACCGGCTTAGCCGACCGATCGAGCTGGCGCTATCTGATATTTTCCTCTCCTTTTGATATAAGCTTTATTCTTTCACAATACAGAATACTTGTATTCTGAAAGAATAAAGCTTATATCAAAACGAGGGGAAAATTTAATTTAGGAGGGAGCATCGTACTGCATCACCAGTACGATGCAGGACTAGGTTAAAAATTCATTGCTTTTTAGGAGTCGAGCATCTAGCAGAATTTTTAAAATCGTAACTCTAAAAGGCAAGGACACTTGAAGAAACTTATAAAGAAATTTTACTACGAATAGTAAGAAAGCAGAAAAGTACAATCCTTTTGCAGATTCGAACCTGCGAGACAATAATCTTTTCTGCTTCTCGTATTTTCTGTCTCAGAAAAGCATTTTCGAGAGTTGTGTGTCGAACATAGAATGTGGCAAATTTAATTTTCTAAATTTTATGTGTTGGGATCAGATTTCAAGAAATCGTTCTTCATGATGAAAAACAGTAAATACCGTTTTTCCACCTTGAAGATCGATTTGTACAAAGTTGAGCCTGACAGATGAAATTTAGAAAATTAAATTTGCTACATTTCTGTCTCTAGATTCAACTTTGGGAAAATCTTCCTTCCTTGTGAAAAATAATATCGATGAAATAGGCGTCATTTGTGATTTTTCACAATGAAGGAAGAGTTTTCCAAAGTTGAATCTAGAGACTGAAGTGTAGCAAATTTAATTTTCTAAATTTCATCTGCTAGACTTAACTTTGCACAAATCGATCTTCACGGTGAAAAACGGTATTTGCTTTTTTTCGCCATGAAGAACAATTTCTTGAAATCTCATCACAACACATAAAATTTAGAAAACTAAATTTGCCACATTTTATGTTCGAGACACAACTCTCGAAAATGCAATGAAAATTTCAGACAGAAAATACCAATCACTGAAATATATTCCCAATCACTTCATCACCTATCAACTACCACATGTGTGCCTGGTAGCTTAGTTGGTTAAAACGTCGCGTTCCAATCTGAATTCTGATAGTGCGTAGTCGGCGAGTTCGATTCCCGTTGGACACATATTCTTTTTTTCTTACTTTTTAGACTAGCTTTGAGTGCCCGGTTAATCGGATCCTCCAACCACCCGGTCAACCTACTTGATAACCACCCTCTTATTAAACATATTTCGTCTTCGGAGCTAGCTTAACTGGTTGGTTAACTGGGCGGATAACCTACTTGTCAACCATAAAAACTGACGGTACAAGTTTTCAAGTAAAAGCCTGTGTGTCAGAGTGTTATTCTTAGGACACCTAATCTGCTTTTCCTTTTCATTTAACGCAGATGAATGGTTTTCTTGGCAAGATAGTGTATTTCTGAATCTTCTCAATGTAAATTAATTGCTCTATAAATTGTTAAACATAACCATAAATTCGTGATTCACTATATTGTACACAGCACCCATTTGATGCTGTTCTTACTGATGTGACTAAAACCCTATAACTTGTATATGCTTGAGTATTTGTGAAATTTTGTTGTTGAACATATGTGCTTCTCCCCGGGTCAACTGTTGGTGAAATACCGGTTGACCCATTGTAAATCAATGTCCATGATGAACCTTGACTAAGGAGAGATGCAGCTGCATTACTACCTTCAATTGTGATTGTTATTGGATCTCTCTCACTATGATCATTACCCGTAGCGAACAAAATTCCTGTTGCTATTGAACTGCCCACTTGTGGCATAACATAAAATCCAGTATTATAACCATCAAAATTAGCACCATAATTTAAATATTTTGTATTTGTATTACTATCAATACAATTTGGGGGATTTTCAGTTGAAGGATAAGTACCAGCCGTATTAGATCCAGCAGATGAATTTGTACTTGAGCCACCATAGGCTGCATTATAAATACCAGCAATGGGATCACCAGCTAAAGTAACTTGAGTATAGTTTAGAGCTCTAGTTGTGGTGGTTGGTACACTAGAAAAAATGAAAAAAGAGATGGAATAAAGAGACGAAAGAGAACTATATTAACTTACGTTGTAGTATTAGTCGTTGTACCTAATTAAAAAACAGCAACAAGAAACTTATCAGAATAAACCCTACGTATTTGTTGTTTCATTTCATTTAATTTAGACAAACTTCTTGTCAGAGTACAAGTTTAAAAACATGAGGGTTTATAAAAAAAATGAACAGGTACCGAAGCGTTTATTAACCTGTATTTCCTATCATGTATTTTTCTTCTTATAAAGGAAGAGAATAGCTCTTAAACATTTGTGAAAGTATATAGCAGAATGGTTATTACTACAATCTTAAAAATAAAATAAAAAGAATGGAGTCCATCATTTCATGAATAATTCGGAAACGAAAAGAGCTACAGATCTGTAATTTTGGCCATTTGAAAAAGGAGGCAAGAGAGTTTTGAGCGGAGACTTTTCAGAAGATTTTCTAAAACAGGTTTTCTAGAAAATATTTGAAAACTTCAGGGGGTGTTTCAAAAATTTCCCATAAAATTATATTGATTTTTTTCATAGGTTGACAGCTCAGAATATTATGTTCAAAATGGGAGTCAAGCAAGATCTTGATTTTCAGTGGTTTATGTACGGTACTGGATTTCTCGGAGCACCAATCCGATACTTGGTGACTATTGATAATCCTGGAACCTGATGGGATTATAGATAACCAACCATGCTGAGTCTCCTAGTAACATTTTTTTTCAGAAAAAGCTTTTAAATCCCAGCGAAAACAAAGATTGACGAAAATTAAGCTTAGTGGCTGTTCTCACCTAATATTAAACAATTCACAATTCACTCAAAAAACTTCAGAATGTGCAATGCTTAGGTCATTCAATATCTTATTCTTAAGAGCTTACTAAAACAACTTACAAAACGGTACGGTTTTTCATAGATTCCCTAGAAAACCTGTTCAAGAAAAAAATCTTCTGAAAAGTCTCTGCTTATGGATATATGGTCTCTAGTCTCCTCTGTCAAATGGTCAAAGTCTCTGAACAGAATAGAACAGCACTCTAGAATAGTGGAGCATCCTCATGCGGAAAATCAGTTTCTGCCTTATTTCGTGAAACTAAAATAGAAGGCCAGTTTTTGATAAAAGATTTTTGGGAAGCTTTTTGAGATTTTCTAAAGGATCGAATGTGTTGCCAAGGATCTAGAGGGACTTAAAACCTGAGAAGTCCTTGCTAAATTCCTATCACCACATTTTCACTAGGTTTTAAAAGCTTTTTCTAAAAAGAATGATGCCACGAGGCTCAGCGTGGTTGATTACCTCTAATCCCACTAGTTTTTGTGATATCAACAGGGACTAGCTAAAAGTCAAGAAGGACAGCCAAAAGTCTTAATAAAAATACCGATTTAAAAAGTGAGAACTTCGAGCTCGCTTTTAGAAACTATCCTGAACAGAAAGCCGAGCTCACATTAGCATTTTCAAATAAAATTTTGTAGTTTCTTTGTTAAGGTTCTTTCTTACTTCGTGTTTGATTAACATAATGCGTAATAAAAACTGGTACAACAACTGCAGTACATACGCATAAGAATAGTCCACCCGCAATTAATAATTTGTTTGATAAAGACAACGAGCTAAAAAGAGAATAAAAAGTTCACAAAAACAAAGCCAATAATATCAGAGTGTTCGATGTATGTACTTGGATGATGGAATTTCGTGAAGTTTATTTAAATCAGTATTAATCTCTGATGAACTAAGAACTTTAATAGCTGGCGTTGGTTCACCCTAGAACATATAATACATTAAAAATAAGAGAAAGAAATCCTTTTTCATCTTTTGCTGCATACAGTTGGTCCTGGTTGAAATTGTGGTATGTATGGATAAAAAAGTTCATTAACGGTTGGCATTTTCAACTATTGATGAAAACTAAAGCACACGCACATACATGTATTGTTTACAGATAGACACATGACACATAAAATAAACTGATAAGAATGTACAACAATAATGTACCTTTTAACTGGTTAAATGGATTAAAGGGAAAAAAGAAAAGAGACAAATGGAAAAAGAATATTCTTTAGAAAACGAACAAAAAGAACTTGTTATAAAACATCCATTTATTGACGATGAGGACACGTGACGCCAGTTTCTTCTCAGTACAAAGAAATAAGGAGAAGTAGCAACTGAAAGAGCCAAGAGAAAATGGGAAGAAAACTATAACGTTATAAGTGAACTCGTCATTCGTTGTTTTTCTTCGAAAAGAAGAAAGATGGAAATTTTTTCTTTTGCCATTCGATGACCTTAAGTCTAAGACTTATCCTTTGTTAATAGCAGATTTTGATCTCACTCCTTCTATCAAAAGATACAAATTTGTTGAGTTTGATCTGTATTCTTTTGATCAACAAGTGTTCGTACGATCATTTTTATACGTCCATTTTGATATTTATCGAATAGGTGAAAGTTTTGTTTACATACCATTCGAAAGTGCAAAATGTGGGCTGTACGACAGAAACAGGATATTATGAAAAATAATTATGTTTAATAGACGAAAATTACGCCGTTATTTAAACACTGTAGCTTAATTAAAATTAACTCGTAATCTCACGCAGTTTAAATCGATTCACGTTTTTCACTCACTGACGACATCGTAAGTATGTCTCATTAATCTGTTTATTTTCAGCCTTTTTAATTCAAGTGTAAATTTTTAGAACATAACAGACAATGACGAAACCAAGACTTTTTGTCTATTGGGTAGACTTCCATTATGTTCTGCCAAAATAAAAAGCATTTCGATTCTGCTTCTATCTTTCTCGGGAATAGAAAACAATAGAGGAGGAAAGAGATCATGGCTGCACAATATTTCAAGAATATGTAAAAACGGTTTTAAAAGTCTTCATTTAGTGTTACTTATGATAAGAACTTCTCAAAGGATTTAAAATTTTTGAAGTAAAATGACTGAAAGTCGTGTAAAAAGTGGACCGACCTGGGTGGAAACACCCAATATCATTCAGCAGGCGTTTTGGGACAATTATCAACAGTATTAAACTGTGTCAATCAGTTCTTGTTCACAGATTTCGGACTGTGTCTTCTGTATCTTGTACGTCTTTAACATTTGTTATAGCCTAGCTATAACAGAAATCTTCTTATCCCTTAGTTTTATACATTTTGTATGTGCATGTGTGTACTAAAGTCTCAAACTCAACTTATTTTATCACCCATAATATAGATATCAGATAAAACAATCCTGACCACATAGTTAATCGCTATGTCCTACTCTTTCTACAAATATGTGAGAGAATGCTCAAGAACTCAGTGTGAACAACTAAATAATAACTTTGTTCAACGTAGAATTTCGTCATCTCTGAATGAAAACGAGTGAAAGTTTCTATGCGATTGGAGAGATGAATATTCTGCATCTTTTTATAAGTGCAAATATTGTTGTGAGAGATGTACTTCGAAGGGAAACTGATTTCCAAGAAACTCCTAGCTTTCTAGCTATTTCACACGATCATTTCCTTTTACTCCGCTAGCTTTCACGTATGTTTCCAATAGGCTAGTCGGAAATATTCGAAAATTTCTCATTATTTACCTTTTTAATTCGAACTCAGGCTAATTAATGAGTAGTGCTTGGAGATTCTCACCATTTGTAGAGCAATAATGGGTCTGTTTACCTGTGCAAAAGTCATTAATTAGTACCATTTACTTCTTAACGAGAAAACTGTTTTTTACTGATGAATTATTTGCCATGTAAAATACATGGCGTATCCAATAACCCCAAATGGAGTAACTGGAAATGTTCTTTAGACCTCTCAGCAAAACACCGGGAAGTTCGCTTGGCACAGGCCGTTTTTGAAAATTTTAGACAAGCTTATAGAAAATATTCTTCTACCTAGCTGTAAAACAGTCGCAAAAAGATAATTAAAATAACAAATTTGTACTAATTAGTCGAGCAAAAAATCGTTTCCAATTGCCTCAGTTTACTCGGCTCTAGTATTTTTCGTGTTTTCATTTAGTATATTGCATGCTCTTTCATGTGATGTTATTTTTTGAAAGAAGAAAAGTATATATTTCAGCTAATATCATACAAAATAAGTATGCTTACACAGATGTGGCATATATCTCTGCACATGTCTACTGGATTCACCATTCTGGATAACCTAAAGGAACTATTGAGAGCTGAAGTTTTTAGATATGAAAAGAGGAGATCATGCAGCATCTTTTTTTCAAGCGGAAACTGTTCTACGAAATTTTTCAAAAATCGGTTTTCCAAGGGATTCATGGAAAACTCGTGAAACTGAAAGTATACGTCCAATCTTGACCAAACTTTTAGGAGTGGCCGATCTAGTGAAAGTATGGTGAAGAAATTTTTTGTTTGACTCCATCTAGTGTGGTTTGTTAGAGGCCGCCACAACAGTGTCTGCGTGAGAAAATCACTTATCAAGGAGTACATTCGCTTCATTTGATTGAAAGAATGATGGATCAACTTGTTATACGGCTAGAATAAAGAGAGAATGTCATATTTCTTGAAATCACGGATTGCTATGTAAGAATATTAATTCTTACATAAATACATGACTACCCATGTACTAAAAATCGCATAAAAATTGGCAATTAATCGTGAAAAATCATACGATTAATTGCCGATTTTTTGGTAATTTTTAGGCGATTTTAGCGATTAATCGCAATTAATTGATGATTTTCGTGATTAATCTCGATGGTTGACAAAGTCATCGATTAATCGCGATGCACGAAAAAAGTATCACTTAATCGTGATTAAATGACCATTTTTTCCCGAATCGCGATTGAACGTCGATTTTTTCAACCATCGCGATTAATCGACAAAAATGAAGCGATTTTCAGCATATGGGTAGGCATGCAACGATAGCGGTAACGCCGGTAACGATACTACCGCTGCCGTTCTACCGATACTACACGTATCCTTTTACCGGTCACCGTAGGTAACCTTTTCCGGATAAAACCTATTGTAAAAAATCACACAGTTACAAATGTAACTTAACTCAGTCTTCAATAACTCATAGACATATGAAAGAATCAAAATTCGTGAACGTTAGTAAGCCGAACTTAGATTTTGCGAGTTGCTCAGGTTTCATCCACTGTTTATGTAAAAACAAAATTAAACAAAACGATAAAAACCATTATTTCTTCTTCTTATTTGAGACTGCTTAAGCCAATAAAATGCAGAGAAAAATAAAACGTAGAATAAAGCATCAAAATCTGTTACAATAACGACATCGTCATATGCTCTGCAGAATTTCACTCTCTCTAGAATCGATACTATCTGAACGCAATGAACGATAAAATCTGTGGATCGATAACGGCAGTAGAACAGTAGCGGTAGTACCGGTTACGGTAAACCAGTAAACTACCGCTACCGTTGCATGCCTATACATGACCTTCCCTGACTCGGAAATGCTGAGTTAGCGTTATTCGTCGTTGTTTTAAGTTATCTTTCTTTTTTCATTTGTTCTGTCTGACTTTGCGTTATAATAAAAGGTCAAAAGGTTATATATTTATTATGGATCAACTTCTTTTCCTTTACCGTATTTTTAACTTCAAGTGGGGAGATGAGAATATGATGAAGAGATTTACCAATTGCTGGCAGAGTGGTATTATTCCGAGGGTAGAATATGTTGTCTATTATTGTGTTCTGTACAGTGGTATGTGGTATACCACTACTAGGGGTGGCACATTACTGTTACTTTTACGAGTAATCCAAATATTGTATATATTCCTGTTACCAGTAACAGTAATACTTTTCACTTTTACTGGTGCTGGTACAAATTTTATGAACATTCTTATCACCAGCAACAGTAAAACTGAAAAGTATTACTGTTACTGGTAACAGGAATATATACAATATTTGAATTACTCGTAAAAGTAACAGTAATGTGCCACCTCTAACCACTACCACTGTACATCTATAGTTGTAGAAGAACTCGAACGAGTTGAAATGTATCGATAATATCACGAAAACCTGTGGACACGTTGCTTTTACGTTGACTCATGAATTGATAAAATAAACTAAAATAAACTTTTCTCATACATTTATCATTTTTTTCTACTCGGCTTTACTTACTTTTTCCGTTTTGGTGAAAAACAACAGACACGCTTTGGAAAATCGTATTGCTGGTCCATGCAGAGAGTTTACTTCTTGTTGGTTGTCTATGATTTCTTCTTTTTGACAGGCAGAAAAACGTTAATTGATCGCATTCTGTAGTCGAATCAATTATTTTTACGTTGTTCCACTTCAGTAAAGATGAAAGTTTAAGACTTACATGACTTATGTTTGCAAGTTTACGAGAAGATAAAACACAAATATTAACCTCAGCTAATGTTAGACAAAACCAGCGAAATATCAGTTAGTACTGTCATGAATTACAAAACCATCTAAATCAGAAAAGAACAATACTAAATGGCAATTCCAAGTTTTAATCTTACCAGTTTTACACAGTTCATTAAGGATACCCCTCTCTTTTTCGACCCTCTTGGAAACCGGGGAAGCCGATGTCGAATCGGAATGTATTTTATACCAGAGATAGAACATTGAAAAGAAAATCGATGTAATTTTGCTCAGAGTTTCGACATAGAGAAAGTCATCCTGAATTATAGCCTGTGAAGTATCAACATACATAAGAAGAACAGACGTTGCACACTGTTGTGCGATGCCCTACTTATCCTCAGCAAGGATTAGCGCGGGAAACAGACGTTCCGATACGTTGTGTGTAACCTTAGGAAAACCAGAACAAACTCCACTCAGGTACTTGATTTTCTAGAGGACCAGCGACATCCAGAGGCGATCTGGTCAAACATCATACAGCCGATGTACCTTTTATCTTGTTAACGCTGCGACACAGGCTTTTTCCAAAAGATGCGCCGTCAAATTCGG